TATCCCTACCTCCCTACCGTGGCGTAACCCATATCTCGATGACAGAGCCACGGAGTGATCTCCCTTCCTCAAACCCCTTTTATGGAGCCTAAAGGCAGCCGGGATGAGGAGGCAAGGGGAGGAATACAGGAATACATCATGAAAATTGGTTTTACTTCGAAAACCTTAAGATTCATTCGTTAATTACGATATTCTAAATCAGTTTAGTAATAATTACCATAACTTTAGTATGCGAATTCGTCTTACCGTAGTGGAGACTTCGAATTCAGGCAGACCAGGCTGACGGAACAAACTCGAGACATGCTCAAGGTAGGGAAAAGGTTCAAGGAACCCCCCTAATTAAGCCCCGGAAGTAATCAAAAAATGGAAACCTCTCCATGAACCGACCAGGTGTACCATCGTGGTGCCTGATAGCATACTATTTAAAATCACTGAATTACTGTGGAGGGACAGCCACAGACTGTGCAACCACCACCTGTCCAAAGGAATACAATCCATCAGAATGAGAAGCCATGGACCGGAGATAAAAATCCGTAAAGGTTGTCTGTCCGCGCCAGAAAGCCGCGGACATGAAAGGGGGACCCATTAAGGAGGGCCCATGACGCTTCAATGGCCCTGATCTCATGAGCTCTCATCTTATACAACGCCCAAACCTGATCATCTGAGTGATCGTAACCGTACTTAATGACCTGACAGATCCATCTAGACACTGACTGAGAGGAGATATCCTGCTGACCCTGCTTAATAGGCAAAAAACAGACGAGATCGAGGACCCCGCCCCCTGGTTTTATCGAGCCACCAAAGAACCCAAAAGGGTGGTGGACTCGGGGACAGATGACGCCGAAGGTGGTGGGCAAACCTCCTCCCCAATAATCCGGGAAACGTCGGCCCTAAGGCCCCGCATACCGGACAACACATGCTGGGCCTCAACCTCAGCACCCTCAGGGTCATCCTTATCCTGGACATCCTCCTCAGAGGGCAAGCCCTCCTGAGGACCGTCATCAGACGACTCGGAAAGACCAGTGTCAATATCTGAGCAACCAGGAGAAAGATGAACAACATCATCGTCCTCTGCGATACCCGCGCCCTCAACGTCCATAGCCTCCACACCAGCCAGACCAGGGCGTGGNCATCCGCAGGCTAGTTAGGGTGGCCCAAGGATGGTTGCCCGCAGGCCCCCGTATACCCTAAGCCAGGTGAAAACGGAGGCAGGAACCCGGCCCCCTGTCCAGCAAACCCAGCACTTGGGGGGAAACCCCCCAGGTTCCCGGCCGAATGAAACTCGCGTCACTAATCCCGGTAGACAATCCCGAAAGAAAGTCTGTCGTCACACCAGGACCTGAACCCGAAAGAACAGGCCAGGCACCAAGACTGTCCCCAACGACAACACCACCTGGAATGCCGGGATCACTGACAGAGTCACTGACCGGCCGCCGGTAGTCCCTACCCGAAGGCAAGCGCGAAAGCTTACGGGCATTCCCGGCCAATTCGACCCTGGGCTGTGCCAAGCCAGGGTCGGGTTGCCCCTCCCCTACTCCAGGGAGTTCCTGAACAGGAAGGGCCACCCCAGAGACAGTACCACCAGACCCCAGAGAGCTTGTGGCACGACCCCTACCTCTCTGCTTCCCTCGCTTACCGGAAGAAGAAGACGAATCTCTCTTACGGCAATTTGAGGGTAGCTTTGGAACTATGAAGGACTTGTCCTGAGATTTAGTGTGTGAACAAAGTTCACAAGGCGAAACCTCACTGCAAGGACGACACTTGGGACAAGCATCATGAGGGTCCCGTTCCACGAAGAAATGGGAATACCCATGAGCTGTCCCCCGTCACTGTCCCGACCGAGACATACCCTCCAAAGCGAAAGTAAACAAAGTTTACAAGCAGATAAACACGGGAAAAAATAATAAAATACGATAGTACAAAGTACGCAACGTCGAAAGAATTTCACTCGTAATATAAATCAGAAAACGGTTAAAGTAAATAATGTTTGCCGAAACAAACAACCGTCACTGAAACAGAGGTCGGAAAATTTCGCACAATAATGGCGGACCGCGTGGCACACAACCGGCACACGTCGAGTAAAATAACCGACCGTAAAAGGCACACAAATATTTTTCAACAACAAATGATTATAGTAATAAGGGCAGATGGGTATAAAGCACACAAACTGCGCAATAAATTGAGTTTACAATCAAACCAAACCGTCAAAACAATGTTTTGATATGGAGCAAGCTCCGGGCCGGCAGCAGGCATCAGGCGCCATAAAAGGAAGAGGAAGGGAGATCACTCCGTGGCTCTGTCATCGAGATATGGGTTACGTCACGGTAGGGAGGTAGGGATATTTAAATCTTTTGTTTTTGGGCTACAGAGATGGGTGTAGGTATTGTATATGCATACTAAAGTTATGGTGATTATTACTGAAATGAAATAGCTTGTATAACTAACTGGGTACATTTACATAGTTCTGTTTCTGATAGTGCTAGTTTTACCCAACAGTTTAATGAGTTATGTTGATCAAGCTGTCAGCTGAGACACTGATGTGTATGTATTCCTAGGCTGACTGCGCCGCAATAAAATAACTACAACATTACTAATTTGATGCCGTAACGATTCCCAATATGATTCAACAAGTTGAAATAACGATTTTGAAGAAGCCCTAGAAGGCAGAAAGGCCTAGCGGTAGATCTTACAAATTTGTTAATTCATTCTATATTTTTCTTGGCAAGAACTTGTTTATTTATTATCAAATGACGTCAGTAGCTCAATTTAAATATTAATTTTGTTACAATGAATTATTTTTTTGTGTTACATTATATATGCTTTATATAATATATGATATGCTATATTCTTGAGAATAAGACGACCCTCTCCTCAGCACTAAACAAAATACCATATTCCTAAATACTTGCGTATATCTTCCTACTACACAGTTCTTTGTTAAATACACAGCTCCCTTGCTAATATATTGTTGCTATATCTCCACGTAAATTAGATTCAGAGAAAATATTGTCATATGTTCTTATAAATTACTGCAGTGAATTAGCACTTCTATATCAAAACTTAGAAATAATGAACCAAAGTAAAACAATTTTTGACGATGTTCTAATTCAGAATTTATTAATAAGAATGAACAATAAGTATATATTCACACGCATCTATTAAAACTAAAAATGAAAAAACGCAATCAAATTGGCAATTCAACGAGAAAACTTCTAAAGGATTTACTTTTCTAGCCTACGAATTAAAGCTAGTGATGACTAATATAATTGTCCCCTATTTTTAGGGTGAGACAGAGAAATCTCCAACACGAGGGGTGATGTTATTTGGTTGTCCCGAGGCTCTGCCGAAGGTTAGACAACCAAAATAATCACCCCGAGGGTTGGAGATTTCTCTGTTACACCCTCAAAGTAGGGGATGGTTATGTTTCTCCCATCCTATTATTTCAGTCACAACTCCACTGACAGTAGGCTGTCATGTTTGTAAACAAAAACACATGTCGGGTATGCATATCGTCATTCGCTTTTGATGACGTCACAATTACTGGTGACACATTTTAATGATGTCACAATTGAACACGTGCTAATCGGCACGAGGCTTTCTCCCCCTAGGGGGTGACAAGCTGATCTAAAACGGGAGACACACATGTGAAGGGTGGGAGAAAATGTACCAAGTGCTTTGAATAACACTTCGGTTTCCACAGAAATAAAATATCGTTGATGAGCACACATAGATACAATAAGTAATAATATGATTCTTGCATTTATGATATCACAGCAAACAGAGTATAAATATAACATATAAACATAGATGACTGTAAAAATATGAAATTGTTTTGCATTGCAGATGTCTTTTAATTTATCTGATAGTTTATATTTCACAAAATATTAACGATTAAACACGTTTTTTGTGGTTATTGAAAAAGAACTATAATAAAAGATATGTTAAACAGAAACGAATATATTATTAGATGTAACTATTTTGTAATGGAATTCGGAATGGCTTACTCCTCCAATGAGTATAAACAGCTTTGCATTTTAAGGATAAACCAGGAGAAAAGAGCTAACTGTTTCAATAAAATGGCATAAATAACAAACTTTTAAGGATACAGATACATTAGGATTATCACCCTAAAATTATTTTGATTTACCTCGTGATCGCCAGTCATAACTACTTAGTTAATAGGATATTTCAATAGGGTCAAGGATGCATCAACCAGTATTTTCTTATCATTGAATTACAGATTATCAGTGTCCAAAACAATACATGTTCATTTCATTGACCCTATAGTATGGTAGCAGATACACAGGAATAGTGGATTCATCCTGCACAACGCACCTATATATATATATTTATGAGCAACATTTTGAATACATCTTTTTTTAGATGTTTTAAAAGTGTTTTCTTCAGACTTGGAACTTGTGAAAACCATGGTTACCACATCAAAACATGACAATGTGACCCACGCAAGCAGTATTTTGTTTTCTTAAAACCAGTCTTAAATTAAATATCACCTACTCAGTAACAGAAATACTTACGTTTTAGCATAGGTCGTTAAACTGGATTTTTTAAAATTTGTACACATGTGCTGAGTACAAAAATAGACTTCATGTAAATAGCCAAAAATGTATTCTCAAACCGAATTCGATTTTTATTTCTATTTGTTTTTTTTTAAATATAAAACCCACATAGTCCACCTCATCGTGTTTATGCCATTTTTAGTGCTGTTTATTTATTTATTTTTATTTTGATACATGTGATATTACAGGGGTTATTCATTGCACAAAAATATCACCCTTGACCACCGTACGCTACTGTATACTGCTACCTTATACATCACTTCATGTCCAAATGTTGCATATATATCACATTACTGATTGGCGTTGAATGTGTCCCTTGCATTAACATTATTAGGAAATATTCAATATGTTCATCACATTGCATTAGCAGTATCAAATGAAATATGGTTAATACATTGATTTACTGGTATATTATTTAGACAATTCATATTAAAACAAAAGGAATGGATACGAACCCTCATAATAATGTTCTATGTAATATAAGTTCCGTTATTGAGTACACAATGAGTCAAAATATCAAAATAATTCTAAAACTGATAACTATCTATCTGCAAGAAATAAAGTCTATGAAAACTTCAATAATTAAGAACAATTAATGATTAAATATAGCCGGTATAACTAATTAGATACATTTTACATAGTTCTGTTTCTGATAGTGCTAGTTTTACCCAACAGTTTAATGAGTTATGTTGATCAAGCTGTCAGCTGAGACACTGATGTGTATGTAATCCTAAGCTGAATGTGCTGAATGTGCCGCAATAAAATAGCCACAGCCTGACTAATTTGATGCAGTATTAACGATTCCCATCTTAATTTAACAAGTTAAAATATCGTTCTTAGAAACTAGTATAATGTTCTTAGTTGTAAATTTACGTTTGATATGCCGCATTGTGTACATAATGGCAGCAACGTCGAAAAATAAATAAATAACTAGCATAACGACAAAAATGAAAAGTCCATTTAAATTGTGTAAAAGTTGAGAGCTAATGATTGATAACTGCCAAAAAGAAAGGGAAAGATGTTAAGGAGGACAAAAGAAAACAAACACAATGGATACTGTAACTCATCTACAGATATAAGTCTCTGTATATAATCTATATAATTATGGTACTGTTACAAATACACATACTCCAGAAATGTATCAAATCTACATACATTTGGATACTGTTAAAATCAAACGTCAGTTTACTCAAAAGGGTTCATTTGTGGTAAAGCCCCGCCCAAGAAATTGACGTACAATACATCTAACGTATTTTTATGTTTGTAATTTTCACTTAATGTTACTTTGATGTCAATTAAACTGTACATAGACTGCTGATTATGGTTACACGGACAGTTTTATTTTATCAATGAAAACGAACATGTTACTTTCGGATTTTTTTGTGCCATATGACGCTTTTTACTTTCATATCAGTTAAAAACATATTTCATCCTGATCAAAATTAATGATAAATTCGAGAACAGATTTGACCGGAATTGTTTTTGAATCCAAAATAATTGAATTGTTGGTAATTTTCTTCTCATATTGATCGTGAATCCTCCAATATTGGCAAATACACCAAAATGTCTCTTTCAGAGTACAGTTACATGATAAATTTCTGTGAAAAATTAGAATTGATATAAGGGTATAAAGTTCCTTAATATTTTACTTAAAATGTCCCATTTTAGGTACACTTGCGTTATATGGACTGGATCTTGAAGAAAATCTATACCTCATACTGTGACAAATAATATATACAAAATACTCCATCAACTGTATCAATAGGTAATGAAATCTTAAAATTCGTATTTCATCAATCTTAACCGTGATCAATATGTTAATGTGAAATATGTTACTCGTGAAATATTTATTGTTATGTATTTGTGAATGTGAAATATGCCAACATGCATATGTAGACGTTAAATGTAGAAATCTTTAAATATTTAGTGTAATGTAATTGTGAGCCTGAAATATGTAACTCATGAAATATTCATTGTAAAATATTTGTGAGCCTAAAATATGTAACTCGTAAAATATTTACTGTAATGTATGTGTGAGCCTGAAATATGTAACTCGTGAAATATTTACTGTAATGTATTTGTGAGCTTGAAACATGTAACTCGTGAAATATTTACTGTAATGTATTTGTGAGCTTGAAACATGTAACTCGTGAAATATTTACTGTAATGTATTTGTGAGCCTGAACTATGGTACTGTGAAATATTTACTGTAATGTACTTGTGAGCTTGAAAAATGTAACTCGTGAAATATTTACTGTAATGTATTTGTGAGCTTGAAACATGTAACTCGTGAAATATTTACTGTAATGTATTTGTGAGCTTGAAATATGTATCTCGTGAACTATTTACTGTAATGTATTTGTGAGCTTGAAACATGTAACTCGTGAAATATTTATTGTAATGTATTTGTGAGCCTGAAATATGTTACCGTGAAATATTTACTGTAATGTACATGTGAGCTTGAAACATGTAACTCGTGAAATATTTACTGTAATGTATTTGTGAGCCTGAAATATGTAACTCGTGAAATATTTACTGTAATGTATGTGTGAGCTTGAAATATGTTACTCGTGAAATATTTACTGTAATGTATTTGTGAGCTTGAAATATCTTAATCGTGAAACATTTACTGTTATGTTTTTATGGGTCGGAGTTCATGAAATATTTACGGTTATGTATTTGTTGACGTATCATGCTTTATACATCCCAGCACGTTATATTAACCCCAAATACGTTCATATTTCTTTCTTTAAAGCATACAGTTGATTGACTCGTTCCTGACGAATGGAAGCAGCGAAAAGAACAAGAACACACACAAACACACACTAACCTAGTCACTACTTCTATGATAAAGCGTTAGAAATATGCATCCTTCTTAATAACCTAAAAGTTGATATATCACGAAATCTGAATGATTAACTGAAATATTAAGCCTTGAAAATATAACATAGAGTTATAGTTATAGTTATGTATGTTCTGTGTGCTGCGGTTGGGGAAAAGATATAATGCAGTCCGGGGACATTCCAAGTTCACTCGTCAGATCGGTTACGAATGCACTTTACCAGTACTTTAGTGCTTTTCTTGGGTTGATGCTGGTCCGGCGCTGTTCCAAGCAGATGGAACGTTGCTCGATTGTGCAATAGGCTCCGATGAATTCCCTGGTTGTACTATTGGTGCAGTCGAGTGATAGCCTGGAGGAGGGTAGGCCTGTTGAGTGAAGGCCCGGGGCGCCTGGTAACCCTGCTGCGGTAGGTAGCCATAAGTCTGTCCTGGCATCTGCTGTTGCATGGGGATGTTCATACTATTGCTCACTGCATATAAATAAAATATCATTACACAACAGCAACTGTCACTTATAATTACAATGAGATATCTTTTTCTTTAACTCTAAAACGTCTACCATTTTTTAGTGAACGTCGTCATGCACTTAGCGAAAGTGTTCAAAATGGAACATGCATGCATAGTGATTGCCGTTGAATTGACTTTTCGCGAGTTGTTCCGATGAGTCTATACTATTTCGTTGATTTGGAAGGCAGACGAATAAGGATGTTTATGATCAGAAAAATGTTTGATCTACGTATTGACAATCAATAATATTAAATACTAGATTAAGTTGTTTTTTTCGGTTTTTCGGAACACAATAATGTTTTGTATTTATCACTAATAATAAAATACATGGAAACGAATATTTATATAATGATCGGCATTTCTTTTCATTTTTATGCTGGTATGAACGCAAATCGGTTACATGCATACTCTATGAAGGCTTCATGGTGATGGCGGTCTTCATTGTAATATGTATATAACTAGTGACATGTATGGTGATGGCGGCCTTCATTGTAATATGTATGTAACTACTTACATGTATGGTGATGGCGGGCTTCATTGTAATATGTATGTTACCAGTTACATGTATGGTGATGGCGGGCTTCATTGTAATATGTATGTTCACAGTTACATGTATGGTAATGGCGGGCTTCATTGTAATATGTATGTAACTAGTTACATGTATGGTGATGGCGGACTTCATTGTAATATGTATGCTATTGGTTACATGTATGGTGATGTCGGGCTTCATTGTAATATGTATGTTACCAGTTACAAATATGGTGATGGCGGGCTTCATTGTAATATGTTTGTAACTAGTTACTTGTATGGTGATGGCGGGCTTCATTGTAATATGTATATTACCAGTTACATGTATGGTGATGGCGGCCTTCCTTGTAATATGTATGTAACTAGTTACATGTATGGTAGTGACGGGCTTCATTGTTATATGTATGTAACTAGTTACATGTATGGTGATGTCGGGCTTCATTGTAACATGTATGTAACCAGTTACATGTATGGTGATGGCGGGCTTCATTGTAATATGTATGTAACTAGTTACTTGTATGGTGATGGCGGGCTTCATTGTTATATTATGTTACCAGTTACAGGTATGGTGATGGCGGGCTTCATTTTAATATTATGTTACCAGTTACATGTATGGTGATAGCGGGCTTCATTGTAATTTGTATGTAACCAGATACATGTATGGTGATGGCGAGCTTCATTGTAATATGTATGTTACCAGTTACATGTATGGTGATGGTGGGCTTCATTGTAATATGTATGTTACCAGTTACATGTATGGTGTTGGCGGGCTTCATTGTAATATGTATGTAACTAGTTACATGCATGGTGATTGCGGGCTTCATTGTAATATGTTTGTTACCAGTTACAGGCATGTTGATGACGGGCTTCATTGTAATATGTACGTAACACGTTATATGTATGGTGATGGCGGGCTTCATTGTAATATGTATGTAACTAGTTACATGTATGGTGATTGCGGGCTTCATTGTAATATGTTTGTTACCAGTTACAGGTATGGTGATGGCTGGCTTCATTGTAATATGTATGTTACCAGTTACATTTATGGTAATGGGGGCTTCATTGTAATTTGTATGTTACCAGTTACATGTATGGTGATGGCGGGCTTCATTGTAATATGTATGTTACCAGTTACAAATATGGTGATGGCGGGCTTCATTGTAATATGTATAATGTATGTTACAGGTTACATGTATGGTGATGGCTGGCTTCATTGTAACATGTATGTTACCAGTTACATGTATGCTGATGGCGGGCTTCATTGTAATATGTATGTAACTAGTTACATGGATGGTAATGCGGGCTTCATTGTAATATGTATGTTACCAGTTACATGTATGGTGTTGGCGAGCTTCATTGTAATATGTATGTAACTAGTTACTTGTATGGTGATGGCGGGCTTCATTGTAATATGTATGTTATCAGTTACATGTATGGTGATGGCGGGCTTCATTATAATATGTATGTATTTAGTTACTTGTATGGTGATGGCGGGCTTCATTGTAATATGTATGTATTTAGTTACTTGTATGGTGATGGCGGGCTTAATTGTTATATGTATGTAACTAGTTTGCATTAATACAGGCATAAACATTGAAAACTTTCGTTCAATCCTTATAGTTACATTCTAAATTGTTAGTCATTCTTGACTTTAACAATGATATTCACTTATATATTCGGTATTTTAGTATCTGTGTCGTCATTGCAAACGAGATTCCTGTTACAGGCTAACGTCACCAAAATGTTCATCTATCCTGACCCAATTTCTTATGGTAATGCTTATGGAGGAACTTGTAGTGGACATGTAAATGTATTTAAATACAGTACATCACATACCTGTAGCAACACCCTGTGGCCCAGTTGGTGCGGGGCCTACCATGACACGGCCAACTTTGTTTTTGTTGATATGCTTGCAGAAACAACAGATCCCAGTTACCATCACTACAAAGAAGACCACGCTTCCAACAGTAGATCCAACGATTACACCAATCCTGTCAACAGAAAAACCACTTTCGACATTATCGCTTTCTACAATGAGAGATTCACTTTTGGGCTGGTTGCGATCACTCGATTAATGAAACAGTCTAAACGAAGACGGAGAGCATGGTAACCTAATACTCTCCTCCTTTCGCTGACGTACACAAAACTATTGTGACACTATTTGAAAAGATGCAGGTATTTAGATATACTTTCAGAATGCTGACATTCTTAAATTTGTCTGTAAGTTATGCTTATTAATAGCACATTCTTCCTACTTCCCTGTTACGACCCATGGTCGTCTTACTTAAGAGAGTGCTGTCTCAAACAGAAGAGGGGCGTTAAGGGAGCAAATTAGTCTTACAAATGGATTAGTTGTTTTGTTAAAGCAAGCGTCGCCTGAACGTCGTATTTTTCTATAAAAAAAATACTTACACTGAATCATTACTTCTATAGTATGTGGGGTTGTAGGAGTAGTACGAGGTACAGCAGTATCGGGAGGTAGTGTAACCACAGCAACCGGCGGAACAGTAGTCATAGTAAGTGTAGTAGTAGTAATAGCCGAAGTAGTACGAGTACTGACGCTCGTAGCACATGCTAGCTGAAGATATGTTTCCTGCCACAAATAAAGGTTTATGATATATTAGGCAGTATTATTCACAAATAATGTTACGTTCTTCATGTATATTAAAGTATGTGTGATATCGGGCGTAAAATCTTTAATCTCAGCCTTGGGGGCACTCATTTTAATAGGTGGGCCCACATATATGTATTTCAATGTCATGTCCGGTACAGAGTACAACCAACGAGATATTTCGTTCTGGAAGTATCAATAAGCTATTGAATCATGTGACTTTGTATTAGCTATCTGACCATTGTTAGCTGTCCAAGTTTATGATATATTAGGCAGTATTATTCACAAATAATGTTACGTTCTTCATGTATATTAAAGTATGTGTGATATCGGGCGTAAAATCTTTAATCTCAGCCTTGGGGGCACTCATTTTAATAGGTGGGCCCACATATATGTATTTCAATGTCATGTCCGGTACAGAGTACAACCAACGAGATATTTCGTTCTGGAAGTATCAATAAGCTATTGAATCATGTGACTTTGTATTAGCTATCTGACCATTGTTAGCTGTCCAAGTTTATGATATATTAGGCAGTATTATTCACAAATAATGTTACGTTCTTCATGTATATTAAAGTATGTGTGATATCGGGCGTAAAATCTTTAATCTCAGCCTTGGGGGCACTCATTTTAATAGGTGGGCCCACATATATGTATTTCAATGTCATGTCCGGTACAGAGTACAACCAACGAGATATTTCGTTCTGGAAGTATCAATAAGCTATTGAATCATGTGACTTTGTATTAGCTATCTGACCATTGTTAGCTGTCCAAGGGTAAATGACATAGTCCTGTCGTCTTTCATATATTTCAAAACTGAAATAAAATACATTTTCTTTTTAATAGAAATTTCCGATAAAGAGATAAAGTGCAGTTGACTTTCAATGATCTCATGTTTAATCTAATATCATGAAGTCACAGAAACATACAAGGAGATAAAACACCTACAAGTCTTGAGGAAAAGAATCTACAATTGCGTAACTTGGAAAATATAAATATAACTAAGTAAGATAAGCATGTTTCACACCCCTTTTCCATAATGCAGGCGAAAGTCAATTTGTTAAGACAAACGCTTTCGCTATACGCAAATACAGTACTTTTAGCTATCAAAAAAAATTAAGCTATCAAACCTAACACATATAGTATTAAACTGTGTCTCCTTTGGGTACTCTCTGCTCTGAACATTGCTAAGATGTGATAACTCCAAAGAGTATCGAAGAACATAGGCTGTTTATTATTGCGCGACAACGGGAAGCCGAAACATCGACAGCTACAATAAAACATTTAGAGTACACACACAAACTATGAGGATTGTTCAGGGAATCAGGTAACTGATGATAGATCTGTAGGACAACTTTTAATACAGGATGAAACAAACCCGTATACAATAGGCGCCAAATTATAAAATCATAGGTTTATGAGACTGCAATATATTTAATCGCCACGCATAGACTTAAACATTTTTATAATCATATCGTTAAATTTACGATCGTGGATGCTAAATTTGTTCCTACACTGCCAAAGAGTCATTAAATGTAATCCATAAATTGCACAATTAAAGATTCAAGATAGGTTTCTAGCACTATCCGTTTGACAATGTATGTTATATGAGGTCGTTATGTATAACATTAATTGTACATGGTGGACAGGAGTTAATTGAAGAAGCGATTAGTGACGTAATTCAAAATCTGCAGTTTTGTAAGTTTATTTTATGAATTTGACAAAACTGATAACACTGCAAATAGAACATAACCCTTTCATTTTGGTTAGGATGGGAAAAGTGATGTAGAAATTTGTAGAATGTAATTGTATAGCCTGTGCATTTTCACAAATATATATTACATGTATAGTATATTCATTGCAAATTTAGATAAAACATTGTACTGTTGATATATTGTTTTTTTGCTGTAGTTTAATAACATAGTTTTAACGTTAAATACCTTTTAAAATCTCTAATTAATATGTCCTCTGGTACATGTAACGTTTTGTATCAAAGCATAAGTTGATCATGTGATCTTTTCTTACAATGTAACAAGTTTTGAATAATCTGAATGAGCATACAAGATATTGACAAGCTACACAAAATACAATAAAACTATAGTCAAATAGCATATCAACAATCTTTTACCGTATAAATTCTATATCTTTTTTCGCCTGCTTATTGAACGTTCGATTTTATTTAAAACTTGACACATTATTACATGATATTAATTTGTATCAAAACAAAATTCTCTAAAATTATTTGGTGAACTTTAGAGAGGCTTGAAGCCAAATCATATTTTCAATTTACCCTGTTCTTTTTCAGTTAAATTTGTTTGTGAATAACGCAATTTTGAAAGTTGGTTTGAACACATAATTATTGCTTAAGTGGATGAAGATTACACGAATACAGGCCCGGTCCTTTTCCCGTCGTACTTTTTCAATGATCCCGGTGTAAATCTTTCCTTTGTTTTCTTTGACTTCGATATTCTCTTGTATCATTACATGGAGTTGATAATAGTTATTAGTAAATCAACAAATTGTCGTGCATCATAATTAATTTATTAAAACATTCATGAATCTTATTGTCTAAATATACTACAGGGACTACTTATTCTGTATGCTTCGACCCATTGACGAATTGACATTGATTTCTGCATGATATATGTGACTCTAGCAATTGTGTATAGATACAATGTCGGCCCACATAGCGTAGTACATGTGCTGACGTAGTTTCTAAACCACCCGCCTTGAGGCCGCGCGTAGGGTATTGCTAGTATGCTACTTTAAATGGCCATTCAAAATGTGCAGCATTTATGTTAGTTGTAGCAAAAGGTTGTTTTCAAATAGTAATATTCTTTAAATTAGATTTTGTAAATGGAACTATATTGTGTTTATTTGATTGTGATGATGTTGCTAGGGTCTACAGTGGAAGGTGGACGTAAAACACACAAAGGTGGTTTCATTTTATAAATTTGATAACAGAAACAGTGTGCCAAAGTGAATGACACTGTGTCATATATAGTTATTTCATCACAGTACTCATTGGTGATGCTAGGGGCATACTTGAAAATCTGAATTGTCTAACCACTGTTGAAACAGAGGGACAGGTACTTAAAAACCCTTGAATTGATCAATTTCAAATTAAGAGAAGTACTGGTTTATTTCAAATTCATTAATCTGTAAAGTTTGTATATCATGAACCGTGCCACTGCTTAAACAAGATAGCTGTGGCTATGACGGTTGCGCAAGTCTCGGGAACTAAAAAATCCACCCGCAGCGTCTACAATTGTAACACCTTGTATCGTGACAGATACACGTTATACACACACATACACACACAAGTGACTGTCCCTTTAACATGCAACACACACACATACACACACAAGTGACTGTCCCTTTAACATGTGGTAATGGAAACAGTATACCAACAAGGTTACAGCGACGCGGTACATAACACGGCCGTCACATGTTGAATGAGCAGTTGTTTTTTATAGTTGAAATATATGTAATATTTATGTTAAATTGATGTTGAAGAAGATATAAATCAACATACCTGGTAAATCAATGATACAATAAAACAGTAATAATGGAAATTATATTAATGTTTTAGCGGATTCTTTTTGATATTTATTTTAATTTATATATTTTAAAGTTAATTTTAATTTAATTCTTTATTTGTTTAACGAGTGTTACGAACAGCCCAAGGGCTTCTAGTCGCTGTCCTCACATTTAACAAACAAGTGAACGGTATAACATTTACATCATTAGCATACAGTACAAAATACAGAAAATGCAAGTTGTTTAAAGTTAAAGTTTTTGTTCCAATCCAAGATGCTTCGACAGGTCCATGTCAATGCTTATGCATTTTGTGTTTTATATTCGAAGTTTTCGTAGATATAGTGCCAACGTTGGTAAAAATAATATTAATAGATATTGACTTAATTTATTAATATTCAAAAACTTTAGTGAAACTATTACAACAGTCGATGTGCGTTGGGTTTCGTTGCTATTAAACGCTTTAATAGCATCAAGATGAAACTTTCTATGCAATGCATCGTCTCAATGCTTCAACCTGACAGTATTACATTAACTTGCATGAAAGAATAAAAAAAAAACCGATTCATACAATTTTGCTCGCAAAATATCTTGTACATACTTATTTTTGCATACTTTTACTCCAAGTGAGGTCTCATTTAAAATGTTTACGGTATTATAATTTGTCTTTTATTAACATTGAAATAAAACATGTTAACAACTAATTTGGTTCACCTTTCCGAATACCCTACCAAAAAGCCTTGAATCTACCGCCCGGTGACAATTAACAAAGTAACTCGTTATAAAGTACCTGAATGAATATTATCGTATAGATACCTAACGTAGGTTTTGATTTATTGTTCAATATAGATTGTGCAAAACATAGATCCGAGGTGTATACGATGCCTGTGTCTTCCGCGAGGAACGCGGTCAAGCGGTTAAATATATTCTCCGTTATTAAGTAGTATCTGCGCTCATATTTACAAGTCATGTCATTACAGCACCCACGTCACTTATTCCGTCTTTGCGTATTGCAGAGTTATCTTCTCTTGTGAGCAGGCATTGATTGTTACGTCATTGGTTTGTGTGGGAAAATTACGTCGTTTTCTCAAAAATTGATGACGTTACAAATGACGCAACAATCAATACCTGCTCACAAGTGCAGATAACTCTGCGATACGAAAAGACGGAATAGTGTTGCTGCACAAATCTGCTGAGAAAAGTAAATTTCCTGCGTATATCAACAATCATACGTCATGAAATTGAAATAATAGTCAATCCAGAGAATATACGATGCTAGTCTTTGTATTAACACCTCGATGTGTGAATTATATTATATGCGTGTATGTGTGTATGTGGATATGTGTGTTTTTGTGCCAGGTATGTTTTTGTATTTGCCTTCTTGCAATAGCGCAGATATTGTTGATACCAACTTTATAGTACTACCTCAGAAGTACTGCGTAAAATGAGGCAAGACTTAAATAATCATGTCTCTTTTACTCCCTCCCCTATCGCAAATAAAGAAAAGATCATAATCATATTAATACTGTTAGCTTCATGCATAAAAGTGTACGCTGTGAATTTTAAAGCATAAATATTTGAAGTGGGAGCAGCGTATAAACCAAACCTTCCATTGTATTGATTGATGTAAATAATATTATCAGCAAATCTGGGTTTTTTTCTTTCTAAATTCAGGGTGTCATGATATTTGGATATGTGTAGAACAGTATTTCTGAAACAGTGTAATCTTTGATATTTTGAGGATTAACAAAGAAATTTCAAAATAAAAAAGAAGTTTAACAAGTCAAATTGACAAATTGTTTCGTTGCATCTTTGTAAACGACGTAAAGAATTCGATCGTAATCAAACGGAAATGCCGGCAAATGATCGAACAGCAATACTTTAAACGAGTTCAACTTGTCAATATTCCATTTGTCTCCTAACTTTCTGTGGACAACCTCATTAAATATGAAACAAGTTTTCTAAGGAGGCTTATATCTAATGACATTTTGACGTCTGTATCATGCTCTGATTTCAAACTATGAAATTCCAGTTTTCTGAGATGCTTGACGACGAGTATATCTTAACATCTCACAGCTAACATGTGTTAGATAACAAACCGCCCCATCTAACAGGGATCATTTCGAGTCAAATAATTTTACATAACTTCCAATCTAACTGGGAACATTTCCAGTCAAAAATCTGATATCACAGAGAAAAACAAAACAAAATAAGATACACACGACGCGACATAAACATAAATAGATACAAGCTGTGTATACTAGGAAGGTAAATATGTCAGATAGAGCAAATTGCTCGCGTATAACTGTCATTCGATATATATTGTACATGTTATAAAGGGTATGGCCAATTGCCCGCAGAAATGTCTCAAAGCAGAAAAACATTTAATAGTTGAAAAGAATTCTCAGAACTTTTTTCAGAATGGTTTATTTACAGACCTTTCATACTATTCGTTGAAATGTTTTGGGAGTTTGCCTGTGTGCTACTCAAGTACATTGCTCTTTACAGCTTAGTAAGGTACTTTAACAGCGAGCTACCACACATATAACTTGTAAGAACGAGAGTTTCTTTCACAGCAGATATAGATTATTATCACAGGAGATGTAGGGTATTATCACAGTAGATGTAGGTTATTGTCACAACAGATGGAGGCTATTGTCACAGGAGATGTAGGTTATTGTCACAGTAGATGTAGGTTATTGTCGCAACAGATGTAGGGTATTGTAACAGGAGATGTAGGCTATTGTCACATATATGTAGGTTATTGTCACAACAGATGTAGGGTATTGTAACAGGAGATCTAGGTTATTGTCACAGCAGAAATAGGTTATTGTCGCAGGAGATGTAGGTTATTGTCACAACAGTTGTCGGGTATTGTAACAGGAGATGTAGATTATTGTCACAGCAGATGTAGGGAATTGTAACAGGAGATGTAGGTTATTGTCACAACAGATGGAGGCTATTGTCACAGGAGATGTAGGTTATTGTCACAACAGTTGTAGGGTATTGTAACAGGAGATGTAGATTATTGTCACAGCAGATGTAGGGTATTGTAACAGGAGATGTAGGTTATTGTAACAGCAGAAGTAGGGTATTGTAACAGGAGATGTAGGTTATTGTCACAGCAGATGGAGGCTATTGTCACAGGAGATGTTGGTTATTGTCACAGCAGATTTTATTTCATTGTTAAAGGAGATGTAGGTTTTTGTCACAGCATATGTAGGTTATTATTACATAAGATGTAAGTTATTGTCACAATAGATATAGGTTATTGTCATAGCAGATGTAGGTTATTGTCACAGCAGATTAGGGTTATTGTCACAGCAGATGTAGGTTATTGTCACAGTAGATGTAGGTTATTGTCACAGCATATGTAGGTTATTGTCACAGCAGATGTAGGTTATTGTCACGTCAGTGTAGGTTATTGTCACAGTATATGTTGGTTATTGTCACAGAAGATTAAGGTTATTGTCACAGCAGATGAAAGTTATTGTCACAGCAGATGAAAGTTATTGTCACAGCAGATGTAGGTTATTGCACAGTAGATGTAGGTTATTGTCACAGTTTATGTTGGTTATTGTCATAGCAGATGTAGGTTATTGTCACAGCAGATTAGGGTTATTGTCACAGCAGATGTAGGTTATTGTCACAGTAGATGTAGGTTATTGTCACAGCATATGTAGGTTATTGTCACAGCAGATGTAGGTTATTGTCACGTCAGTGTAGGTTATTGTCACAGTATATGTTGGTTATTGTCACAGAAGATTAAGGTTATTGTCACAGCAGATGAAAGTTATTGTCACAGCAGATGAAAGTTATTGTCACAGCAGATGTAGGTTATTGCACAGTAGATGTAGGTTATTGTCACAGTTTATGTTGGTTATTGTCATAGCAGATGTAGGTTATTGTCACAGCAGATTAGGGTTATTGTCACAGCAGATGTAGGTTATTGTCACAGTAGATGTAGGTTATTGTCACAGCATAGGTAGGTTATTGTCACAGCAGATGTAGGTTATTGTCACATCAGTGTAGGTTATTGTCACAGTAGATGTAGGTTATTGTCACAGCATAGGTAGGTTATTGTCACAGTATATGTTGGTTATTGTCACAGAAGATTAAGGTTATTGTCACAGCAGAAATAGGTTATTGTCACAGCAGATGGAGGCTTTTGTCACAGGAGATGTTGGTTATTGTCACAGCAGATGTAGGGTATTGTAACAGGAGATGTAGGTTATTGTCACAGCAGATGGAGGCTATTGTCACAGGAGATGTTGGTTATTGTCACAGCAGATTTTATTTCATTGTTAAAGGAGATGTAGGTTTTTGTCACAGCATATGTAGGTTATTATTACATAAGATGTAAGTTATTGTCACAATAGATATAGGTTATTGTCATAGCAGATGTAGGTTATTGTCACAGCAGATTAGGGTTATTGTCACAGCAGATGTAGGTTATTGTCACAGTAGATGTAGGTTATTGTCACAGCATATGTAGGTTATTGTCACAGCAGATGTAGGTTATTGTCACGTCAGTGTAGGTTATTGTCACAGTATATGTTGGTTATTGTCACAGAAGATTAAGGTTATTGTCACAGCAGATGAAAGTTATTGTCACAGCAGATGAAAGTTATTGTCACAGCAGATGTAGGTTATTGCACAGTAGATGTAGGTTATTGTCACAGTTTATGTTGGTTATTGTCATAGCAGATGTAGGTTATTGTCACAGCAGATTAGGGTTATTGTCACAGCAGATGTAGGTTATTGTCACAGTAGATGTAGGTTATTGTCACAGCATAGGTAGGTTATTGTCACAGCAGATGTAGGTTATTGTCACATCAGTGTAGGTTATTGTCACAGTAGATGTAGGTTATT